TACTACTGCTACTACCACTACTACTACTACTACTACCACTACTACTACTACTACTACTACTACTACTACTACTACTACTACTACTACTACTACTTCAACTACAGCTACAACAACAACTACTACTACTTCTTCTGCTGCTACTACTACTACTACTATTATCACTAAGAGCTGTTATCATTAAGCTACTGGCGTGAACCAATCATGTTCGGCTTTCCCATGTGCTGAGATAACGCTCTGTGCGGGGGGGCGGGGCGATACCCTGGACCACCCCTGAGGAAAGCCGACGCAAATCCATTTGTCATTCGGGGTTGTAATAGAGATCACATCGGGAGAAGACAAGGAAGTGCAAGCGACAGCTTTGAAAACACAGTTCCTAGTTTATCGGACGAGTTTTCAGTGCTCCGCATCTTGCTCAAGCAGCAATTAAATATTCCCAGCGCTCAGACGTTTTACGTCGCAGCGCGGCAGAGGCGGCCCGCACGCGGGTCCAGGCAACCTGGGCTGCGCTGTTGCGATAGCTTAGCGCTCAGACAGACGAAGCTCACCGATATCCAAACGACAATCGCGAGGAAAATCGTGAGCCAACCGTAAGATAGCTAACGGGTCGCAAACGTTTTCGTGTTGAGGTCGCGCGATGCTAAAGATATCGTTCGGCGAATCCCGCCCCTGGAATTAGTTAATAACCGTGCGGTGCTAGCGATAAGTCCGGGGGTGTCCTTAACACCTCCCCGAGGAAGCTTTGGAAACACATAGAAGACTGCAACAGTGTGTAGATGATGCTCTCTCTATATATATATGTGTGTGTGTGTGTGTTGTGCCTGACCTTGTCCAGCTATGATGTGTGATTGGGCAGCGCAATGTGTTGTGCCTGACCTTGTCCAGCTATATGTGTTGTGCCTGACCTTCTCCAGCTATATGTGTGTACCACATCGAACTGCCTCTCCACCGCCGCGAGGGCCGCGCTGGTCGTCGCCACTTGAGGCGCCACGGCGGAAGCCTTCGTCGTCTCTGACCAGCATGGGTGCTGATGTTGGTCGGTCTTCGGCCCAGCTCCAACTAGGCGTGGGTACGCGTGTGGATGGCCCAGCTTGTCCTTTTCGAAAGTCACTGTGAAGCAACGTGCCAAGAATTCATGTTCACATTGGTTACGTATCCCGGAATGTGTGCGGACAGCCATGCATCGCTCAACAACGAACGAGAAGATAAGCCAAGCTGGTGTTCACATGTTCGAGCCACCGCTTTTCAAGTGCATGGAACGATCGTCACGAAGGGAACTTTGTCATGAACGCCAATGATGGGTACGCTGGGAGCTGCCGCGGACTACATACTTGGATAGCGTCACTCTGGCATTGGCGGGAATATCACTGGCGGCGGGCACCAGCCCAAACCCACAGCATGATACAAGTGTGAATTGCCCCACGGTGGGATCATGAAACTCACACGGCAGACGGTGGGGTCCGCGCCAGGCCAGTCGGGACACAGAGCTGCGAACAGCGTCGGGACGAATAGATATGGCAACGGATGATGGGAATGCGCAGGAGATAGGAGGATGGAGTGGGAAGCGTGCCACGGGCTCAGAAGGCGCCGGGGCAGTGAACAGAAAATCGAGAGCGACGCGATGAGCAAGACTAGACTCACACGTGGTATCCTCCCACATATGGAGAGGATCACCGCAAGTGGGTCGGAACCCACGACAGAGGATGGGAAGCGAGAAGGGAAATAATGACAGGCGCGACGATTGGGAAAGACGAGTGATGCAAAATTCGCCAGCCCAACCAGCCAGAGGCGTGCTAGAATCCGCCGACCCTGTCGGCGTGTGTGGGGTGTCCGTCTGGCGGGAGAGAGCACTCTCCCGTCGTCGGGGGGGAGGAATCCAGGGATTGAGGGAAATCGACCCACGTCGTAATCACGTCAAAAGGAAGCCCCTTCCCTTTGTCCCTTCCCCGGCGGGGGGGGGGTCCCGGGGGTGGGGGGGGGTCAGATTCGCATCGCCTCTGGGTCCTCCTTTCCCACGCTGGTCCTCCTCCTGTCCTCGTCTGGTCCTCCTCCCCAGGTGGGGGGGGTGGTGGCCCGGGGAGGGGGGGGGGGACAGATACGCATCCGTCCCTGGGGGTCCTCCTCCCCCTCCCCTCACCTCTCCCTCTCCCGCGCTGGTCCTCCTCCGGTCCTCCTCCTTGGGGGGGGGTCCCAGGAAGGGGGGGTCCTCCTCCGCCTCCTCCTCCTTTCCTCCTCCTCCTCCTCCTCTTCCTCCTCCTCCTCCTCCTTCTCACTGCCTGCTCCTCCTCGTCTTCCTCCTCCTCCTCCTCCTCCTCCTCCTGCTCCTCCTCCTCCCCCGCCTGGTCGTCGTCGATGTCTTTCAAGGTCGGCGGCACCGGCCGTCAGGCCTTCACAATCTCCGGTAAGAGTCTGAAGCTGTTTCTGGTTCGCGCGAGCGTGGCGGGCCGTGGGGTCCCCGGACGAGAAGCACCCAGGCTAAATCCTGGCAGGGTCCCAGCTAGGTCCCGGCAGGTCGGGATCATAGAAACTGGAACTCCTGGTCGCGGCCTCGGGTGCCCCTGGAACCCCCAATGAGGCCCCAAATGGGTTGCAGGCCCCATGGCCTCAGGCGAAACATGTTTCAAAATTGTCCAAGTTGGCCCCAAGACGGCCCGAGAAACGCCCCAAACACCCCAGGAGGGCCCCAAGAGGACTTCGACATGCCCCAGAGATACTAAAATCATTCATATCGTTGAGGTTTTGGGACGATGCTGGCGACGTCGCCTTTTCGGCTTGCTGACCGACGGCCTAAGAAACCACCAGTACCGCCCCAAGACAGCCCACGAGACCCCGAGAACGGGCCCCAGACGGCCCAAACGAAATAACAATACGGCCCCTGAGGTCTGTCCCCCCAATAGGGCCCCAAAAGCTCCCGGGAACGCCCGAGGAGGGGGAATTCGACCCGGCACATCGAGCCTTCCTCGAAAGTTCGCCCCCACGGCCGCCAGCAGGCGCCCAGGAGACCCAAGATGGCCCAGGACGGCCCGAGGAGCGCCCAAGACACCCCAGGACGGTTCCAAGAGGACCTCGACTCGCCCCAGAGACACTGAAATCATTGATTACGTTAAAATTGTGGAGCGATGTTGGCGATGCCGGGTTGCCGGCTGCACTGGGCGGCCCAAGAGGCCACCAATATTTCACCCCACACCTGGAATGACTTTTTTCCGCGAGGGCCACCTTGCACTCCGTCAGGCCTCCTGAACACCTCCCGCAACCTGTTAAACTGTCTGGACGCGTTTCGGAACTCTGCTGCAGCTCAGCACCACCAACCAACAGTGATGCGAAATGGGCCGGCGGAGTGAGCGGAGCGATTGAATACCGCCACTGGGACACAAAGGATGAGGAGGAGGAAGAAGAGGAGGATGAGCAGGCAGAGGAATAACACGAATAGCAGTAGGAGGAGGAAGAGGAAGAGGAGGAGAAGGAGTAACGTCAGCTTGCGATTGACACAAAAAAGGAGGCTCGTGCGATGAAGGAGAAAGTTTCCTTGCTCGGGCGAATCGCGGGGTGGCGCCCGCCAAATTGAAACGCACCGCGGCGACTCCTGCGATTAGCGACGACGCCGGGCCGCCAGCGAGAAGGCGACAGGAGCAACGCGGACTTGGGGAGGGGGAGGCGGGAGGCAAGGGCGGCAGCGGCAGGGGCCGTCGGGGCCGCTACCGCCGCGTTGCTTCCCTGTTTCGCAGTCGAACGAAGCTCCCGTCGCCGCGGTGGAACAGGGCCCTGATGGAAACGGACCGAAAACCCGAGTGCCCCCGCCAGGACCAGCTCGATCGTCCTTTCGTCTGCCTCGGAGCCCGCCGGGCGCCTGGGGACCCGAAAGCGGGAAAAACCTGCCAGGGCCAACTTCCCGCGAGGAACGCGTCCACCTCCTCCTCCCCCTCCTCCTTCTCCTCCTAGTCTTCCTTTTCCTCCTCCGTTTCCTCCTCCTCCTCCTCCTCCTCCTCATCCTCCTCCTCCTCATTCTCCTGCTGCTCCTTCTGCTGCTCTTCCTCCTCCCACTCCTCGTCTTTCATGCCGTTTGCCACCTCGGGCCAGCCGAATTCGAGACGAAGCCAGGACGAGGTTAACTTCGGGAGGGGGTCCATCGAGAATCTCTGAGATCTGGTGGCGCTGGCATCGCGGCCGTCTCAGAGCGTTTCCAAACAGTCTAAGAGCGTTCCTGAACGCCCTGGAACGGATTGATTCCTCGTCCTAGTCCCGTGCGAGAAAGCGCCCTCTCGGGGATGGCCGTCACTCCCTTTGGCAAAAACGTAGTTTGGTAACAACGACCTCGGGCCCAACCCTGGCGGGCGCAGGCCTGTAAAATGACGGTCGTGGTGCCGTCTCGAGAACCAAAAACAAACAATTCACTAATCGACGTGTCAAGGTGGGGGTTCTGTCCACTCCCGACCCACATTCGCCCCCCCCCTCCAGAACCGGCCGGACATTGACCGGCCCAGACAGCCCTCGGCAAACTGGAGGCCTCCTCGATCCTCCCCCTCAGCGGTCCTCATCGAGTCTCCTTGAGCCTTCGCTCTCCTCCTCATGCTCTTCGATCCTCCTCCTCCTCCTCCTCCTCCTCCTCCTCCTCCTCCTCGGTCCTCCTCGGGCCTCCTCCTCCTCCTCGATCCTCCTTCTCCTCGATCCTCCTCCCAGATCCTCTTTCTCCTCGTCCTCGGTCCTCCCCCTCGATCCTCCCACTCCTCCTCCTCCTCCCGGGCCGGGCGAAGGGGGGGGATAGCAAAGGGGGTGGTTGAGAATCAGCTCACGTAGCTGATTTTCACGGCGCCTCCTGGCGCCGAGCCATGTAACGAGGAATTGGCCCGGCGGCGGGGCCGAGACCAGCTGCATGCAGCAGATTTCGTACCCCCCCCTTTCCCTATCCCCCCCCTTTCGTTCAGCCCGATCCTCCTCCTCGCCGATCTCGAGAGGTCAAACCCCGGCGCGGAGGCGGGGCCGAACCAGGGCGCACGGGGGCACGCCTGGCAGCTCCGACAGCGGCGCCTGGGTCCGCCCCAGGATGCCCTTGCTCACGGTGAAATCTCGTGGGCAAGGGTAGGGGAGGAGGAGGAGGAGGAGGAGGAGGAGGAGGAGGAGGAGGAGGAGGAGGAGCAGGAGGAGGAGGAGGAGGAGGAGGAGGAGGAGGAGGGGTAGCCTCGTCGTCGTCGTCGTCGTCGTCGTCGTCGCCATGATCGTCACCGTCGTCGTCGATCGTCGTCGTTAACCCGTTCGTCAGTCGTCTTAGTAACTTTATCCCGCTCGTCGACGGTTGGTCGTCCGTTGTCGTCGTCATCGTCCATTCCCACACGCATCAGGAGGGCCCCGGATCGGCGGCACTGGCCGGAGGCCACTACAATCTCGTGGGCAAGGGGAGGGGTAGCCGGAGAGGACCAATTGTTTTAGGGAGCGGAACTCTATACTCTATGCGCTGGCGCTTGTTCCATCCCCTCACTGACACTTGCACAGGAAAGCGTATCCTGGTGTGCACGGGATGCTGGTGTATACATGTTTCGCTGTTTTCCCGGGACAGCGGGGAAACAAGTATACACCACACCACCCCGACGTCGTCCCCGACCCTCAAGAAGTCCTGGGATTAAAAACAGCCTGCCACAGGATCCTCAGCTTCGAGTGGTCCCCACCGAAACCTTCGGCGTTTGATCCCGAAGGTGCTCGCGCCCATTGGAGCGAGGTGCGCGTGGCCCGATGGTGTCGGCCAGTGCGGCAGTCTGACCAGGTCGCGAGTTGCCCTTCATCTGACATCTAATGGCCCCAGAGCCCCTGACAAAAGAGAGGGCAAGGGGAGGGGTAGCCAGAGAGGAACAAAACCAATACGGTCAGGAGCGTTTACGCGGCGTGTCGCGGCTGCGGCCCAGGCGACACGCTCTGCCCCCGCGAGCGGACAGCGTGTCGCTCCGCCCCGCGGGGCAAGACAGCGGACGTTGATGCCCGCGGGCTGAGACGTAGTCAGCGTGTCGCGCCGAAGCGTGGTGGGCCAGCACCAGCGGCGCGACACGCCGCAGAAGCATCTCTGGCCGCAACCGGGGAGGGCACACGATGTCAGCGTCACGCCAGTCGGACGCCCCCTTTCAGCACGTGTAAGTGCTGTAGGAGTGCCAGGCTTTCCTGCCAAAGGCGATGGCATCGCACGCGCAGCTGGAAAGACGACGCGCGTGTCACGGGTACCAGTGAGCCCTCCCGAAGGAGGCACGTACGTCTTTCGTGACTTCAGGTTTCGGCCTTCGGAGACCCGTTCCGGGCCCAAGGGCAATATCGCACTCATGCGGTGTACTGGATGTTATGTTTTGAAGGCGCAAATGCGCTACGTATAGGGACGCAACACAATGCAGCACATAGTGTAGCGAGGCCTGGCCTGCCACACAAGTCATGGCCCAACATGGAATGGAATAGCACCGCACATCAAAGCGTGACATGATGGTTGCACAGCGCATCGTGGCAGAGAATAGCATAGCATTGCGTATCATTACGGCAGTGTCATAGCATTGCCTGGCATGGCACGGACTTGCAAAGCATGGCGTGCCAAACCACTGTGCCATAGCGTAATATAGCAGCGCGTAGCATGGCACATGATGGCATATAAGCGCCTCTTCCCCCTCCTCCTCCTGATCCTCCTCCTCCTCCTCCTCCTCCTCATCATCATCATCATCATCGTCCTCCTCCTCCGATGTATTCTCTTCGTCCCTCCACCTACTCCTGCCTCCTCCCCCTCCTGCCTCCACCGCCATCTCTCATACTCCCTCTCCTCCGCTTGGTCCTCGCGTCCCCGCTCCCGACCCCCTCCTCATTCTCCTGCGCGCCCATTTCCCCCTCCTCTTCATCCGCCTCCTCGCCCCTTCGTGCTCACATGTCTCTTTCCTGCTCCCGCCCGCCACCTCCTCCTCCCCCTCCTCCTCCTCCTCCTCCTCCTCCTCCTCTTCCTTTTCGTCTTCAACCTCCTCCTCCCCCTCCTCCTCCTCTTCTCCTCCTCCTCCTCTTCTCCTCCTCATCCTCCTCCGCCTCTTCCCATCCTATTTCCTTCCTTCCGCTCGCGAGAGGCGCACCCCCCTGGCGCCCAGCCCGCCTCCCCGCGGCCAGGGGGCGTGGCGTGCAACGCCCGACGCTGACGCGGAGAGCCCCTGCTTACCAGCCCCCTGGGAAGGGGGTCCCCCGATGCCCCCCCCCGACGCCAGGCCGACTCGGAAGGTCGCCTCTGGCAGCCCCGCTTGGAGCGGGTGGCTGCGCGGCAGGCGACCTCGCCAGAGCGGGGTGATAAAGCAGGAATGGCAGAAGCCCCGGACGCGCCCGAGCCAGCCGTCAGAAGCCCCCGACGGCGCCCGGGGAGGGCAGGAGGACCAGGAAACAGAAGCCGGAGGGAGGCCACTTACTCGGCCGCTATGTGATTGTGCCTCGCTGCCCCGCTCTGGCCATACAGGGGGGGGCCGCGCGGCCGCCTTTGCGGCCGCCTCCAGCCGGCGTGCCTCCGCGGCCGTGAGGGGGCTGCGCGCCCAGCCCACACCCGTCGGCTCCGCGCGCCCCAGCACCGCTGCAGCCAGGAGGCACTGCTCCAGGTGGGCCTCGGTCTCCAGCGAGGCGCCGCAGAACCCGCACGCGACCATCACCCAGGTTGCATCGCGCGTGAGGGCGCCCTGCAGGATGAGGTGGCCCCTCGCCCGAACTTCGGGCAATGTGGCCCCCTGCGCGCTGAGGTCTGCCACTGGCCCAGCCGCCAGGCGCCACCCTGGGAGGAGCGTGTCTTGCAAGTGCGCCAGCCTGGGTCGAGCCGGCCAATCCGTTCGGAGCCGCGCCCAATGGCTCTCATCCGCCAGGCGGCCCTTCTGATCCGGCCGCGCCACCGTGCCTGCGCAGGAGGGCAGGGGCATGGGCAGCGGGGCGCGCTCCGCAGTCTGTCTGCCTGGCTCGGGCCTGGGCTTGGCCTCCTGGCCCATCGGCGGGGGCCCCGGTGCGGCCGCCCTGGCAGGCCCTGGCGGCCTCCGCCAGGAGCTCACTGAAGCCGAGAGCTTCATCTGGCGAGCTCCCCAGGTCTGCCCCCTCGGCGTCAGATTAAAAGGCAGGAGTCTCACCAGCTGGGGCGGCCGCCGCGGCATCAGGGGGAGCTTCTGCCACCGTTGGTCCGCGCGCCTCTGCTGCTGGGCTTCAATGAGGTGCTCTCGATCCTTTGCCGCCCCCCCGGCGTCGCCCAGTTCCTCCAGCGCCTCCACCAGCTGGCTCAGCTTGAGCTCGAGGGTCGTGGGCCCGGCCCTGCCGGGGCCGTCTCCCTGCTGGGGCCCCAGGCGCTGGGATGGCGCTGCCACGGCTGCGCTGGCGGCCCCCGTGTTCTTCACCTCTGGCGGATGGGTCTGCGCGCGGGTCCTGGCCCCCACGCGGCGCCGAAGCCCGCTTCGCCTGGGCTGGCGGGAGGGCGGATTCGATGAGCTCGGGGATGATGCGGCACCTTGACCCGCAGCTTCCCGCCAGGCGGTGGAAGCTGCCGTCGGACTGGTCCGTGGCATGGTGGTTGGTGACACGGCCCACGGCCCGCTTGCGCTGGGACCGACTCCAACCGTCCACCGCGTCCCCCACTCTGTGCCCCGGAGGCTGGTCCGTCGGGTAGGGCACTGTCGTCGTTGGCGAGGCCGCGGCCCCTGCTTCGCCCGCCGCTCCTCCGCTCACGGCGCCGCCCAGGCTCTCCTCGCCCGCAGGCCAGATGTGGTCGGGCGCGTCCGCGCCGCGCGCCGCGCTCACGGCGCGCCCGCCTGCTGCTCCCGCCGCTGGGTCCGGGCGTGGGGCTGCGCGGGCGCGGGCGCTCACGGCGGCGGTCCTTGCCGCAGTGCCCGTGCGTGTGCTCCTCCAGTGATGAACCCCAAAAAGGGCCCCTTAGCCTTTGGGAGGGGACCTACGTCAGGAGGGCCCAAAACATTATAGGGACAAAGGTCTTGCCTGCAGCTGTGGCAGGCCATACCGCCCAGAAAGATTACCCCTAATGCCGATGGGGACCTCAGTGAGGCCACGACTTCAGTGTGCTATTAGGGTTAGGGGTTCTTTTATCCTCAATGATCCAGGGCGTCCCGCACGACCTCGCGCATGGACGTGGAGGGCACACGCTCCTGGAACTAGGCTGTCAGAACGTACGTCGCTATGATCTTCTTCGTGCGGCCCGGGTCCGCGGTGCGGATCGCTTCGGAGCGGAGGAGGACCGGGGTGGTCTTGACGAGGGCCTGCTTCTAGTCGGAGCCGCTGCGGCTCGGTGCTGCAAGCGCCTTCATGTGATATTTGCGGCGGCCCACCAAGAGGGGCCCAGCGATCTCGATCGTCACGCCCAGCTGCTGCAGGAATGTCGTATCAGTGGGCGGCGGGTCGTTGCTGCTGAGGCGCCTGATGGATGGAACCTCCTCCTCCTCCTCCTCCTCCTCCTCCTCGTCCTTCTCCTCACTCTCCTCCTTCGGGGGTCCAGCGCCGATCCGAGAAATCCACGCGGACCTTCGGGTCTGTATGTTTATGTCATTGCTCGTTCCTCTACAACCCTCGCCCCCCAGGCCAGCCCCGCAAAAGCTGGCAGCGCTCCTGCCAGCGGGTAGAACGGCGGGGCAGGCGTGGACGCGGAGGCCGACGTCTTCGCCAGGGCCCTGTAGAAGACTCCTCGCGGAGCAGGAGGACGAGGAGGAGGAGGAGGACGAGGAGGAGGAGGAGGAGGAGGAGTACGAGGAGGAGAAGGAGGAGGAGGAGGAGTACGAGGAGGAGGAGGAGGAGGAACACGAGGAGGAGGAGGAGGAGGAGGAGGAGGAGGAGGAGGAGGAGGAAGAGGAGCCTGGAGGAGGAGCGCGGAGGATGAGGAGGCGGCGGAGGCACGACTGGCCAGCCGAGGAAGGGCGGACAGGGGAAGGAAGACGATCCAGAAGAGAAGACCAGAGCAACAACACGAACACGGAGATGATGAAGTCCGCTGCCCTTCAAGAGGGCGATCCCGCCAACGGACAGTAAAGACACGGGCGATCTTCAAAGCAGAACGGGGGGACACATCCTGCCCCCCATACAGAGAACATGATCGACCCACGAACCCGGAAAGCAATTTAGAGAAGCGCAGCATGGCTACGTTTTCAAGACATCTGATTGGGCGACAGGCAACTGCACTGGTGAAGGTATATCGATCGTCTTGTACCGTGCCAAAGACTGTGCTGAGCTGTGCTGAAACGAGATGTGCCATGCCGCAATGAATTGCGTTGTGCTCTAAAGCGTTGTGGATCAAGTCGCCCTTGGCATCCGAATGCTGACCGAACTGATCTCGACCTAAAGTTCGAGCTGCCTGGGCACATAGATGGACCAGAACCGGTTTCAGTCGAAGCGTGTGGGACGCTCAATCAGCTCGAGCTCACGATCCGACTCAGTTCCGAAGCGGGCCGAGACGACACGGGGCGCAAGGCGCATGGACACGCCACGGAATGTGCCAGGGGCGCACTACGAACTGCGCCGAGAGACGTATCAAGGAACGTGGCAAGGGACGCGTCGCGGAACAGGCAGGGAAAGCGCCAGGGGACAAGCCAGGGAACGCGACAGAGGACGAGCCAGGGGACGCGCCGAAGGGGGAAGGGCATACGCCGTCCCGCTCTGGGGCCTTAGGAACCTATGTGTTTTTACGTCTGTCCCGCTCTGGGACGTTAGGAACCCAAGTGTTTTCACCACCGGAGAGGACAGATAATGTCAGAACGACCACAGGTGAACACAGAGAGAACGGCAAGGCGCGGAAGAAGCCGGCTCAGAACTCCGCAAAAAGCCGACCTGCAGTAGGCAAACTCAAGTGGGGAACCTTGGCCCAGGGCTTTCCCCACACGATCCTGTCATGCTACGCCTGAGTGAGTGCACTGGGGGGGGCCCTGCATGGTTTTCGGTACTCTGCGAGTGCCCGGCGGGGGGGGGGCACGATTTGCCCGCCCCGCGGGCGCACGGTCTTTCAAGGTTTCTTCTGCCTCTGTGAGTGCATCAAAATCGCCCTTTCCCACCTGACCCCTGGGTCCCTCCGCACAAGCTGCTGGAGGCGAGCCCGCCCTAGCCCCGGCATCCGGTCGCGGGGGAGAATCGCATGTGGCGGATGCCGTGGCGGGCCTCACGCACCACATTGTGGAAGAGTGCAATGGAAAGGAAGGCCTCCACGGGCAGGGGAGAAGGCGCCTCTAGAAACGCCACCGTCATCGGCAACGCCAGCGCCAGCTATGATGGGGGGGAGATTTGCTCCACCACGGCACATCACACGGCACCTGCACACACAGGTCTGCAGGAACCGAGCTCACTGCAGAAGCACGGGTAGAGGACGCGAGGCTCCTCAGAGGGCGGCCAGGGCTCTGGCCATGCAGAGGACTCGAAGCGTGATAGAAACGACTCAAGGGCACCCTCCTCCCCTCGTCCTTCTCCTCCTCCTCCTCCTCCTCCTCCTCCTCCTCCTCCTCCTCCTCCTCCTCCCCCTCCTTTTTCCGTTTCTACTCCGCATCCTGCTCCTCCTGCGCAAGCAGCAAAAGAGAAGGGGGCGAGGTGCCTGGGTCCTGAAATCCGATCGGGAATCGCCATCCGGGCGATAATTTGTTGTCACCATGACGGCGCATGACGACCTGGCAGGGTGGACCTGCAGACCTGAGTGTAGCAAGGCCTCGCACGGCGACAGCGCAGCCGCAACCCGACCGAACCGACCGCGAGACCCAGACCACAGAAAAACCGGCAAGAACACATGCCACAGGCAGCCTGAAAGGGGGGCGCGTCGACGTGGAACGACACAACCAACCGAACGATCCGACCCGATGTCATGCCGGCGTAGCCAGGTCGGCCGAACCGTGGACACCCTCAGGGCAGTGCCATGGGGGTCATCACTGCGGGGAGGGAGGCACCACCTCCATCTGGAAGTCGAGGGTCTACGAGGACGAAGGATCGAGGACCGAGGAGGCCGTGAGCGTTTCTGGGCGTCTTCGGGAGTTCCTGGGGGCCCTTGGGGTCCAGCGCGGTCCTCTCCCCCGAAGAGGTGGTGATCCCCCCTTGGTGGTGAACCCACCTCGGCAACTCGGCGGCGCGCCGAGGGGGGAAGTGAGAGGGGGCAGGACTTTTCAGAAAGCGGTTTGGCCGTCTGCGGCTTCAGATAAGGCTCGAAACCGTAGGGAAACCAAAAAGGTACCGATACCGCTGCTCCACGGCCCTCTCTTGGGGCGCGCTCTGACCAGAATTTCGCGGCGAATCCAGCGGCGGCGACGAAGGCCTCCGAGGAGGTCCAAAAAAGGGGGAAAGGAGCGAAAGATAAATTCCGCAAACTTCTGAGGAGGAGCCACTTGCCACTTGGGCGGGGCCACGTTCCACCACCACGACCACAGGCAGGACGGGGGAGAAGGGGAGATGGGAGGTCCTCCCCCTCTCCCTCCTCCTCCTCCTCCTCCTCCTCCTCCTCCTCCTCCTCTTCCTCCTCCTCCTCCTCCTCCTCCTCCCTCCTCCTCCTCCTCCCCCCTTCCCCCTCCCCCATTCCTCCTCGGTTCCCTCCTCCTCCTCCTCGGGCGTGGCCGTGGGCGCGCCTGATGCTCATGTTCCACAGATGTTGCCGCTGCGCGTTGGCCGCGCATACTGAGAACGCACTGCCCTGACCACACCCGCACTCTGGTCGGGTGAAAGGACGGGGGCTGAAGAAGATACTACAGAGTGCAGAAGGTTGGACAGACAGTGGGCAGAGACAGGGCTGGCGAACGAGGCAAAGGAGGGGGAGAGGACTCCGAAACGAGCAAGAGGACGATGGTTGAGAGGGCGCCTGGCAACGTCAGTCAGGAGTCTGCAAGATCTAGGACGCCCCCAACAATGCCAGAAACGACCCGCACACGCGCGGCATCCTAACATGCAAGGAGCCTTTTGTCTGACATCGATCGTCCGAGGTCCACGCGGCGGCGACAGTTTTGATCGCTGCAGCCCGCCAGCAAGGGGGGAGGGAAATAATGGAAGAACAACACAGAGGAGGGAACTAATGGAAGAACAACATAGGAGTCCAGTCGATCAATTCAAGATCGGCCAAGCTTTCAGGACATCCACCTCTGAGTCGGACACCGAAACTGGTGATGAGGGTATCGGGGAAGATGGAGGACACGAGGCTGGAGTACAGGAGACGTTGGGAATGGAGAGCTTTGCAAGGAAGAAGAAGAGGGTTCGCAGCGACATGATCACGAAGGGCTTGCGTGGCCTTCCCACCAGGGATCCTGAAAGAAGGGGAATATGGAAATCCTCGGGCGGCTTGCTGAAAGATTCTGAGCGAGGGGACGGGAGAGCCAGAAAGTCGGGCACCAACGGTGGCCGCCTTCGCCACCAGAGCAACCCGCAACGAGGGATAGGACCGGGAGCTCCGCCCACGCGGTTTCTTCTAGAACTTCCACGCACTCGCGTCACTGGGGGAGGATGCACAGGCTGGCACGGATCAGAGAGGCAAGACAGAAGGCAAAAAGAGAAGAAGTTTGGGGTCCACCCCAGTCCTTGGTGCAGTGCCAGTCGGCATTCTTTCCAACATCTGAACGGCGTCTTAAAAAGGCGTGCTAGCTGCTGGTACTCTGTCTTCCTGAGCTGAGGCGGACCCGAGAACCGCCACCAGCAGCGATCTGCGCACAGCGCGTCTGGTATTTACTACATGGTTCGTGCCGCGAGTCCCCATATAACATCAGGTGCCAAGTGCATGCCTAAGTAGTTGAGCTTACCCGAGACGCCCATAGAGTCCCAACCTCTGAGGTTCCTGGAGAGCCACTTGCGGTGAATATGGATGCTCTGGGGGGAGCCAATGCCAATGGGCGGGGCGATGTGGCACTTGGGAATCTCGAGGCAAAGGTGAGCATCCTCCTTCGCCTTCCGAAAGACAGAGGCGATCTCGCTGAACGCCAAGTCGCACTTTAAAGCCATGCCGATATCGTCCGCGCACGCGCGCGTGAGACCACGGCCTGCGTCCTCAACGACCGAGCGGGACTCTTTGGGGAAAGGATCGAGAACAATGCTAAGAGTAGTCCCGAAACAGGGCAACCTTGAATAATGCCAGCGGTGATGACATACCTGTTGTGCGTGATGCCCCCCCCAAGCTGCCGCAACATGTGCCCTTCTCTTAGATGGCCGAGCAGAACCAACGGAGAGGAGGAGAAAGGCCGGGCACCAGTAGAACCGGCGTCAGCCAGCGCTGGCACAAGCTCGGGAACGCCTGGCCGACATCAAAACCTATTAGCAGCGGAAGCGAGCCCCTCGGTCCCATGGAGAACGCGCGGGCATGCGTGTCCAGGTCCACGATGTCGGTGCAAAAGTTTTGCCAGAAACGAAACCACGCTGCTTCGAGTCGAGACCCGTCGAGAGGGCTCCCAGCAGCAAACCTCAGTCAAGACCTTGCAGCCCGTGTTTTTGAGACCCATGGGACGAACGCCACCTACGTCCCGAAAAACGGCTTCATTGTCGCCTGCTTCCGTGCCTGTTTGGATGAAAGCCCCAAGCAGTTCGTTGGGGTTGGAGCTGAGCGCGCGCCCGCCCAGGATCCACTGCAGGCTGTCGAACCGGACGGGGGATCCTAGAGGAGCATGCTGCCACGTAGCGTGCCTGACGCGGTCAGGCCCTGGGCCAGAGTCGGTTTGACGCTTGAGATACCTTTCCCGGAGGTGCAGGGCGGGATGGGGGGGGGGGGCCTGGCACGTGACTTCGGGGCGGGGGGGGGGGGCTCCTCAAGATAAATCCGAGCTGTGTCGGCCATCGGCATCGAAGGGCGTCGCATCTTTTCTAAAGAAAACTAAAGCCCAATGGAAGGTGGGCGCTTTGAAGACGCGGGTAGGCTCTTTCAACGGTCGGCCCTGGGCCCGAACTCCAGCAAGGGGGGCGCGTTTGCCAGGGGGGCCAAGTCTGACAAGCTTTCTTCATTTCCGCCACCCGTCCTCGAAGCCGAATCTGTCGCCGCCCACCCCCAGCTGCGTCGAGACCTCCTGGGGCCGCCTGCCGACGGCGCCGTGCAACTTCAGCGCGCAGCGAGTCCGAGAGCGCAGCAAAGGCCAGCGGCAACGAGGTCCACCGTGCCCGCGTCTGGGGGGGCCACGAGGCGCACTCGCGCCAGCGGGTGGGGCGTGCAGCTCCGTTCGGCGAGACGCGCATCCTGCCGAGGGACTGCGCGAGCACAGGTGCAGATCGCGATGAATTTCGCATCGAACGCCTGCGGCGCGTGAATCAACGGCGCGCTGCGTGCGTATCTGGCTGCATCTATCAGAAGTACTTTGTAGCATGTATGTTTGAAGGAACACCAAGACGATCATCTTCTGCGGCCGCGAGCGCGCGATGCATGTGCCAACGGCACTCCTGAGAACGAAATATATCCCTCGGGATGGGCATGGCAACTTCTGGTGTCCGTCTACGAGTGACGAGAGTCGCACGTGACGCAGCATGGTCAGAGATTTGTTTGGCGCGTAGTTGTTCTGGCAGCCCAGCCGCCCCTCCCCCCGCGATCGTCCGAGGCAAAACCGCCCGGGGGCCGAGCCGAAGAGACGATCAACACATGAGGGATTACGAACACCAGCGTGATCACGGGTAGGAGCTTCAAGTTGGAATTCGACCTGCTTGCGGATGAGCCCTCGCCGGTCTGGAGCGCCCAGCACTTGGGGGAGAATGGGGGCAGCGATATGCTCGTCAGTTGGAGAACCGAACTGAGCGGCGTCGGCCGCTGCAAACCGAAGTTAATGTCCCCGGCGACGATGGCGAACTTGCTGTGTGGGTCCCTACTGGCATCCAGGAGGTCCGAGGTGATGAGATGACAGACGTGGCGACGTTGCTGACGTGAGAACCCATGATTCTGAGCGTTGTAGTGCGAAATCCAAGCAGAGCCATTCCGACCACATATATGCGCGCTGAGAACCCGACCAAGAACAAAACGAGACAAAAAAACAAGAGGAGACGGGCTGCCGAACATACGCCCTCGCTCGCTGCCGGGGTTAACCTTCGGGGAGAAATTGGCCGCGCCTCCCCTGGCCCGATGCCTCGGGGAGCCGCGGATATCGCCCACGGCTGTGAAAAAAGGAATGGGCGAAAGAAAAGGGGGGGCATGTGTTGGTGCCAGAAATCTTGCACTTCTGCGATCGACCTCGATCCGTGGACTTCCTGCGCGGCCACGATTACCCCGAGGCGGAGGAGGCGACGGAGGTGCTGGCATTTAGCCACGCGCACGACAGTCTGATGATGCAAGCGGGAACCCGAACTCCAATATGCTATCTTAAAAGGCATCTTGGAGGAAGCAGCACCGCTTCAAAGAGCGAGCAAAATACTAACGAGACCACTGGGTAGCGCTGTCTCCCACCATGGCGGCTGCCAGTGGGTCCTCGAGCTCCGCGCGGGACATGCCTTCAAGCGCCAGGTTCGCCTCTGCCCAGCGAATCTGCGGCGCGCCCTGATCGGCGAGCGGGGGAGTGTCAAGGTGGCGCCAATTAACAGAGACCGCGCCGCGCAGCTTGTCAACGAAGAATCGCCTCCCTTAAAACCGACTCTCCGAAAACTTCTTAGCTGCTCTGAAGGCGACCTCGCGGCGGATCTGGCACGGGCTCTTGTCGGATCCGACAGAAATCCAAGCGCGTGCACCAGAGACAGATGTGGCATGAAAAAAGCATCCACTCCTCACCAGGGCGCTGTGGACGGCGCAAGCTGAAGGCCTACTGCACGCGACGCGCAGCAAACTGCGCACCGCCCTTGAACTTGATCGCGAAGCGCTTCCCGACGGGGTTCTCACTCTGCAACTGCCACTCGTTGCTGTTGATGTTGAGACGGGAGGTCCATGGGAGAAGGACTTCTTGAACCTGCTGCTGAGCCATCTGCTCCCTGCAGCGGACCACGACGGTCGTGACGTCGATGGCGCGGTTGAACGTCGAGTCCAGCGGGATCTTCGGGAACAAAAGGTGGGCTGCTCGCTAGGCGACTCCTTGGCCATGTTGAGCTCGCGTTTGATCTTTTTGACCTCCTCCGCCAAGCGCGACAGTTGATGTGTGTGGCCAGCATGTGCACGTTCCATTCCGTTGATGCGCTGCTCGACCTGCGAAGCCATCGTAGCACATGTATTTTGAACTCGCTGTCCAAGACCCAGCAAGCTGTCGTTGGGCGTCCTCGTGGTGGCACTGGCCTACTGCAGCAGCTCGACGCGCAAGTCCTCGATGGAGTCTTTGAGGCTGGCGTGGACGACCTCGAAGTCGGCAGCTTCACCCGATGGGGCGGAACCAGCAGCACGATTCTGTCGGCGACCTTCACCTCGAGGTGTAGAAGGATCCTCAGGGCCAGCAGCGCCAGCAGGAGTACCCCGTGCAGGAGTGTCGACCTGGGATGATGGGAAGGTGGCGAATGCGTCCCATTCCTCGGCCATGCGCATCAACGCGGGGTTGGCATGGGACATCGGAGACAGCACGCCTGGGGGAACGGGCAGGCTGCCAGAACAAAGCGTGCTCTGGCGCACGACAGGAAAGAACGTGTCCTAACCACGGGAAAAATGTTTGGGCCACCCCTTGGCCGCGTTCAAGCTCCAAACGCCAGGGGCCCACGTTTCGAACTTGAGCCACAATGGCTACGAACCTCCTCCTCCTCCTCCTCCTCCTCCACCTCCTCCTCCTCCTCCTCCTCCACCTCCTCCTCCTCCTCCTCCTCCTCCTCCTCCTCCTCCCCTGAGGTCAGGAACTTTTGCGAACGAGGCGCAACTGGACGCGGCCCTGCAAGGGCGGCCGCGCCGGCGCGGCGGGGGCTCCCTTCTTCTCCAGCTCCGGCGGCACCGCCAGGCTCGCCAGAGGCCAGGGCCTGGGCGGCCCCACGCCCGGCCCGCGCGCACGCAGCCGCTGCCGCTGCCGCCGCTGTCAGAAACAGAAAGTCCACCCTCCTGATAACCACCCCGACACGCTCCCCCTCCTCCTCCTCCTCCTCCTCCTCCTCCTCCTCCTCTCTTCCTCTTCCTCTTCCTCCTCCTTCCTCCTCCTCCTCCTCCTCCCTCCTCCTCCTCCTCCTCCTCCTCCTCCTCCTCCTCCTTCCTCCTCCCCTCCCCGTCGCCGTTGCAGCTCAGACCGGCCTCGTGCTCCAGGCGCCTGCAACGTCTCCCACCCACCCACCCCGCCCCCGCGCGCCGCCCCCGCCTCGGGCGGCAGGCAACCGCTGCCGCTGCTGTAGGGAGCCGGAAATTCACCCTCGTTATCATCACGCGCGAAGCCGTTTCGTAAACGCACCCAGAGGAGGACTCGAACAGGGCAGGGTTGTTTAGCGAACGCCCAGGGCCGTGTACTAAACGCCAAGTATCGGGTCTGGGTGTTTTTCCTCCCTTGATGCTGGTCGTCGTCGTCGTCGTGGCCATCATCGTCGCCGCCGTGGTCGTGGTCGTGGTCGTGGTCGCAAGCGGGCGCGGCGGCCGTCGTCCGCGTCCGCCGCCGCGGGCGCCCCCTCGACTCGGAGCGCATGCGGCCCTTCGCAAGCGTCGCAAACGTCGTGGTCGAGGTGGTCGTGGTCGTGGTGTTGGTGGTCGTCCGTACACGCTACTTCAATTGCTGCCACGGTCTGATAGAAGCTGACCGTGGAAAAGATAAAAGAAGCCGCTCGTACAGATCGTCTGCCGTGCCTACATCCTCCGCACGGCCTGCGCAGGCGAGCCCACTCGAGAATCGTCCGTGCCTCGTTCTCCCCTCATCATCGCCGTCTCTGCCCGCCCTCCTGCTCGCCAAGACTGACAGGTCGTGCAACAGATCGTGGCTGTCATGGCTGGCCGATGATGATGTTGCAAGCGGTGTGCGCCTCTTGGCATGCACGGATGTCCCTGTCGCGTGCTGGGTGTGGCACTACCCGCCGCGACGGAGTGTCGGGCAGACCTCGGATAAGGATGCGTCTTCTCCCGCTTGCCCGCATATGGTCGTCGCGGTCCTTCTCCTCGTCGCCCTCCTCGCGGCTGTCCCGCTCCCCTGAGACTCCCCTTGGGCGCTTGCAGCCTGTGCGGCTCCGCCAGCTCACGCTTCCCGCCGCTGCGATCCTTACTCCTCCTCATGCCCCCCCCCCACCGCCCCCCTTTCCCGCCCCGCACTAAGTTCTCGCCCTGATGACGACTCCCGATTGGATTTCAGGACCCGTGCACCTCGCCCTCTTTTCTTTTGCTGCTTGCGCAGGAGGAGGAGGAGGAGGAGGAGGAGGAGGAGGAGGAGAAGATGGAGCAGGAGGAGGAGGAGGAGGAGGAGGAGGAGGAGGAGGCTGACCTCGCGCATCGCGCCCCGCGCGGCTATCTTCGCGCGCTCGCAGGGAGACCTTGGTGAGGGCCATCGCATCTGGCTCAGGCTGCGCCGCGCGAAGCGCGATCATCTCCGCGCCACCAGGGGCGACCTCTACTCCTCGTCCTCTGGCGCCTCCCCCTCCTCATTCCCCCCTTGCGCCGTCTCGACCCTGCTGTTCTCACAGCTGGACTCCCTCGCGTTCTCCGTCTCTCCCCCTCCCTCGGCGTGGTCCTCCTCTGCCTCCGCCTCGGTCTCCTTGGCCTACCCCTCGCCCTGCTCCCCGTCAAGCCCCGCGCTGCCGCTGGCGCCACTCTCCCGCGCGGCGGGGCGGGCCCTGCGAGCAGCCGCCTCAGGCATACACGCCGGGGTGGGACTGCCGCCGCTCGGTCGCGAGGCGCGGAGCTGACGCGCCCCACGGGAGCACTCGGAATCCCGTCCTCGCCCTCCCCCCCGTCGCCGCGCCACCCCGGGCCCGCTCTCGCGCGTGCCACGGGCGGGGGAAGGGGGGGGGGGCCTCGCCGCCTCGTCCTCGCGCGAGTAGTTGCGCTCTGCCGCCTCCTCCGGGGTCCTCTCCACCTGGGAGGAACGCATCGGGTGGCCAGGGACGAGAAGCTGGCGGGAGAGAAGAGGGAGAAGGATACGTTGTGCTGCATCTTCGGGGGGCCTTGCATGTCCAGTCGAACCACGATCCACGTCGCATCTGTGTCGAATCCGTGTCGAGCGCGTCGAATCCGTGTCGAATCCGTGTCGAACTCACTCGCGTCGAACCCACGTCGGAGTATATCAGAAAAGACTGCCATTTGCAGGACAGGAAAGGTCCCCCACATATGCAAAATAAGATACGTACTGTGCGGACGCGGTTCGCTGTGGACCCGGTTCGCGCGCGCACACAACGGACGCGCCGGCACGCAGCTCATGGCATTCGCATGCTTTTTCGCATGGTGTCCGCCAGTGCCGTGCGCTCCCAACCGCGCGTCTCGGCCCCCTCCCCAGGGCCAGCCCGCCCAAGAACGCCTCCACAAGCCACTGGTATTAGGTCGGGCATGTCATCGTACGGGCGGATTTGGAAGAACAAATAATCATACATGATCGACCCACGAACCCGAACATTAATATAGAAATATGAGGCATGGCGACGTTTTCAAGACACCTGATTGGGCGACGGGCAATTGCAATGCTGAGTGTATCGATCTTGATGTACCGTGCCAAAGGCTGTGCTGTGCTGCGCCGAGCTCAATTGCGATGTGCCATGCCGCGATTGTGCTCTATAGCGTTGTGGATCGAGTCCTCCTTTGCATGCGAATCCTGACCGAACTGATCTGGATCTTAAGCTCGAGTTGCCAGAGCACATAATAATTGCCCCAGAGCTAGTTGAAGTGGAAACGTGTGGGATGTTCCATCAAGTCGACCTCAAAATCCGACTCAGCTCCGAAAAGAAACGACACGACACGGGGCTGAGGCTCACGGGCGCGCCACAGGATGTGCCAGGGGCGCAATCGGGTATGCGGAAGGGGACGTAGCAGGGGGACTTATCAAAGGACGTGCCCTGGACGTGTCAGGGACCTGTTACGGGATGTGCCAGGGCGCGTGCTATGGGACGGCCAGAAGACGTCATGCTCACGGACGTTGCAAAGTGCGCGCCACGGCACGGGCAGGGGAAACGTCTGTGGACGAGCCAGGACACGCGACAGAAGACGAGCCAGCCGAGTGGCGTGCTATGGTACGTGCCAGGGCACGTCACGCGAGAACGTCGCAAGGGTCGCGCCGGGGGACGCGCCAGCGCCCCAGGGGACGCCCCACGGACGGGCGGGATTCAATTGCGACGCACTCTACTGCGATAAGCGTTTCGATCGAGACATCCTAAGCAAATCCTCATGTTAGACATCCGCCTGGGCGACCTGGGCACATGAGAACAAGTGTCTCGCTCAAGAAATCCTCAACACATCCTCATGTTAGACATCTGCCTGGGCGACCTGGACACGTGAAACCAAGCGTTTCACTCGAGGCATCCTCGACAAATCCTCATGCTAGACATTTGCCTGGGCAACCTGGACGCGTGAAAACAAGCGTCTCGCTCGAGGCATCCTGAACACATCCTCATGTTAGACATCCGCCTGGGCGACCTGGAAACATGAAAACAAGCGTTTCGCTGGAGGCATCCTCGACAAATCCTCATGCTCGACATCTGCCTGGGCAACCTGGACGCGTGAAAACAAGCGCTTCACTTGAGACATCCTCGACAAATCCTCATGCTAGACATCTGCCTGGGCAACCTGGACGCGTGAAAACAAGGGTCTCGCTCGAGACATCCTCAAAACCTGGACACGTGAAAACAAGCATTTCGCCTGAGATATCCTCTGAATTCTGATCCCCAGGAGAGGAACAATCTAACACAAAACAAGCCTTGCGCTCGAGGCATTGTCAACAAATTCTGCAAAACAAGCGTTTCGCTCGAAACGTCCGCAATAGACGAAAATGTCTACTTCACCATGTGTTTTATCGATCGGAATTTATAAACCAGCGTTTCGCTCAGGACATCCTCAAAATCTTAATTCGCCAGCCCCTCCCGACCTTGTTTGTTATTTATCCAAATAATTCCGCGAGCCCGTCTCAAGTCGTCCCCGGGGGGAAGCCTCTAAAGGAGAACCCTGGGCCCGCGCCCTTTTCGGGAAAAACCTGATCTTACTTCGTCGCTATCGCAAATCACATTCCGCCGGCACTCTTCAGGTCGATCCCGGGGGTAAACCTACTGGAGGAGAGCCCTGGGCCCACGCCACTGCCGGGAACCATGATCGGCCCAGGAATGCGGAAAGGGGAAATGAGGTGTAAGGCATGGAGATGTTTCAGGACACGAACCTTGGGGGACGGGCAATTGCAATACGCAAAGCAACGATGGTGACATACCGTGCCAGGTGCTGTGCTGTGCTGTGCTGCGATGAATTGACATGCGCCATACCGCGCTGACCTGTGCAATGCTCTATTGCATAGTGGATCAGGTCGTCCTTGGCATCAGACTCCTGACCGAACTGATCTGGATCTTAAGCTCGAATTGCCAGTTCTGGATCTTAAGCTTCCGCCGGCCCACTTCAAGCCGAGGCCAGGGGTAAAACCTCTAAAAGAGAACCCTGGGCCCCCGCCCTTTCCGGGAAAAACGATGGCCCCAACGTGCGCGCCGTACCAGGTTCTCCACAACATCGGCCCTGAGGCCCTGGAGCCTTGCCAAGCCGACCAGGCTTTCCCGAACTACACCGGCTTTCTGCAACATAAGCCCCCGGCCGTTCCCAAATCGACTGGGCCTTCCCAAACCAGACGGGCCTTGTGCAACATGAGGCACGGGCCTTCCTAAACCGACCTGGCCATCCCAAACTAAACGTGCCTTCCGCAACATGAGGCCCCCGCGGGATCCCAAACGGACCAGGCCTTCCCAAACCAAGCGGGCCTTCTGCAACACGAGGCCCCGGCCTTCCCAAACCAACCGGGCCTTCCAAAACTGTACGGGCCTTCCGCAGCATGTGTCCCAGGCCTCCCAAACCAACGGGGCACTCGGGATTCCCAAACAAAACAGGCCTTCCCAAACGCAGCGTCTAGCGCACGTTCGTAGGATCGCGTTTCTTCATTTTCGGCGATACTGGGCATTGCAGGGGGGGGGGAGGGGCAGGGGGGGTATGATGTAACGCATCCCCCCCGCCGAGCTCACGGCGGCAGTGCCCAGAGCGCACTGGGGGGGGAGGGGCGTTACGTTATAAGGGGGGGGAGGGGGGGCCGGGGGCTATGATGCCCATTCTGCTCCAAGCAATGAACAAACACGCTCTAGAGGCTCGCTTGGTCGGTAGAGGTGCCCCCACCGGGCGCTCCCCCCCGTCGAGCGGCATCCTGCCGGCCCAGTGCGGAGGGGGGGACTGCCCGATGGTGGCCCCTGAGCGGCGCCCGTGCGCGTGCAGCTACCCACATCGGTGCTCGCTCGGCTCGGCGGCACACCCACCGTAAAGTTGGGCGCGTCCCTCTACAGGGGGAAGATTCAAACATTAGTTGAACAAGTAATGTGGAAACGAGTTTGTTTTTTTTGGTGGGGGGGGGATTTTTGGATTCTGTTTGGATGCGGTTTGAGTGTCTTTTTGTTCGTCTAGAGTCCGCCTGTAGGGGGGACACGCCCGACCTAACACATCGGTGCTCGCTTGCTCGCTCGGCTCGGCGGCGCGCCCAGGGGGCAGAGGCATGGGGGGCGGGCCTGCTCAGACGGGGCTTCTGCGGGAGGCCCGGGGGGGGATCCTTCGCCGCCCCGCCGCCCGCCGAGAAGGCCCGCCCCCCCTCTCACTGCCCCCCTCGGCGCGCCGCGCATCGGCAACGCCTATGCTCGGGGGAAGCAGAGACAAATCACCGGCCCTGTGACCCCTCGCTCGCCTCCATTGCCACTGGCCGTCGACCCCTCGCTGGCCTCCGTCCGCTGCGTCGCGCGCCCGCCAGAGCAGGTGGCACGCGATCCTCTCTCTTGCGCGCTGCCTTCTCACGGTGGTTCCGAGGTGGGGCTGCCGCGCGCCGCCTGATGACACCAAGCGCACATCGCCTCAAACTGGCCACTCAGCTTTTCAAACTGCATCACAGACCAATCACGATCATCTGCCCTTGCGCGGGTTTCCCGTAAGTGCGAAATGCCACGTGCACCCATTTGCTCCGGAGAAGCCCTCACAGCCACAAGCGACGTCGTAACTTTGCCCTTCGCAGCGCGCAGACAGCCAATCTGAGCACCTCTGGCGGGTCTAGAAACTGTGCAGGCCGAGCTGAATGCACGTGCCAAAGCGAAGGTAAATATCGGAATCGAAGTGGCTCCTTAGATTTCGGGATCAACCTGGCCGCCTTCCTCGACGTTGTGGACGCATATCCAGACAATATCCGGGTAATCGCCTAATTACTTGTGCATCCTTGCCCCTTCCGCTGGTAAGGATGAGGGGAGAGAGCTGGCGTGGGATGGCTGCGGCAAGCAATAATCCTACCAGCCCTCTTGGCTGAGTTGGTCTACGGCGCTTCTTCTTTCACCCCCCTTATTCCCATTTCAGGGAGGCCCCGATACCACCCCAAGACGGCTGCAAGTGGCCACGGAGCCTCCCAAGGAGGCCCCCGAGAGGCCAACATCTTGAAAAACCAAGCAGAACATCAATGCGGTTTACCTGATTGCACGTTCGCGTCCGATGGGCCTCTGAGGCCTCAAGATGGCCCCGAAATTGCCTGCGAGAGCTCCAAGATGAGCTCAAGAGGTCCTCAATCCTGCCACAAGAGCGACCAAGTGCCCCAAGAACGCTCCCGGAGGTCCCCAAGAGGCACTCAAACTGGCTCCAAGATGGCTCCAAGATGGCCGAAAAGTGCCTCCAAGATGGCACAAGACAGCCCCAGAATCCCAACGTGACCTCGAGGAGGCCTTCAAAAGATGCAACCTCCGTAGGCGAATTTCCCCGAGCAGTGCCCTCCGTAACTCCCGCTCTGCGGGCTCAATTGTCGAGATAGGAAGGGCAGGGGGAGGACTGATCAGGATAAGCGAGACTAAGCACGAGGATGCGGAACCTGTGTAAAGACCAGAGAGACGGTCGAATATGAGCAAGGAGGTAGAGGTAAGAAGCGCGGTGGGGATTTGCATGGTCGCAGTCCCACTGCCAAACCTACAGAGAGGCTGCAAGTTGTCATGTCATCTGCAGTCAACTGACGGACCTGTCGAAAAGCGCGCCTGGGGCCTCATCGACAAGCCCAGGGGGCACCGAGCCCCTTCCGAACCCAAGCTGCTCCCACTTTTGACGCTCCCACTGCATCACTGCGGATCGGGGCAGGGGGTGGGGGCAGGGGGGGAGGGGCGGACGGTGGATCCCTGGCACGGGACCTCCGGCAGAGCGGGCGCTGCCCACCTCCTTCTCGGCCATCATCTCCTTCTCCTGCTCCTGCTCCTGCTCCTGTTCCTGCGGGCCGCGGCCGAGGACGAGAGGGGGGGAGGGGAAGAGCCGCAGGAGCCGCGGGCACCTCAGCGGGAGGACGTTGGCGCAGCCGCCTGGGGAAGCGGACGTGGCACAGCCAGCGCCAGACGTCGAAGCTCGGACCGCCTTCCGCGAGAGAGTGAGGTCGGGCAGGCGACGGCAGGAAGTACAACATCCGCCTACGACCCAAGCGCCGCTCCCGAACCCCCTCCGTTGGCCCAGGCACCCAGCGGGCACGCTTGGAGGCTCCCGAGACTGCGTGGTGACAGGCTGCGCGGCAACCTCGGAATCCAACAGGACCTCCCCGCGCGATCCGCCACTGCACGGCCCTGAGGCCCTGGAGACCACGCTCGCCCGACCCTCGGAGCGCGGCCCGAGTCCCAGAAACGTGCGGCGACCCCGACTCGAACCTCCGCTGACTCACCACACGGTGCGGTCACCACGCCCTCTTGGGGGCCCCCGACACGTCGACGCGACCTCGTGACCCATCGAGAACACCAGGCCCCGACGGCAGGAGGACTCAGCAGGCTCGAGGCGGCACCCTGGTGGCCTCGGCCACGGCGGGCGGAGAACGGAGCAGAACAGCGGACGGAGAACGGACAAAGGACGGCAGAAAAACAGGATCGACCCACCTCCTCCTCCTCCTCCTCCTCTCCTCCTCCCTCCTCCTCCTCCTCCTCCTCCTCCTCCTCCTCCTCCTCCTCCTCCTCCTCCTCCTCCTCCTCCAGCCCCTCCTCCCCTCCTCCTCCTCCTCCTCCCTCCTTCCTCCTCCTCCTCCTCCTCCTCCTCCTCCTCCTCCTCTCGTCCATGGAACCGTTTCGAAGGACCAACGCCAGGGGGGCACGCCGGGGGGACGCGCTGCGGAACGTCCCAAGGGACGCGCTGGCGGACGTGCCAGAGGACGTGCCATGGGAACGCACCGCGGGACGTACCACGGGGGGACGCGCTGCGGAACGTGCCAATAGACGTGCCACGAGACGTGCAGGGGGACGCGCCGCCGCGCGACGTGCCAGGGGGACTCGCCACGGGACGCGCCACGGAACGTATGCGAGGGAACGTGCCAGGCGACGTGCCAGGGGCCGTGCCAGGGAACGCGTCAGGGAACGTGCCACGGGACGTGGCACGGGACCGCGCTCCCAGGCAAGCCCCTTTTCCTTTTCTTTTCCTTTCCTTTTTTTTGTTCCTTTTCCGTTTTCCCCCGCCCTCCCCCCCAGACACCGCGAATCAGAAAGGGGCAACGCACGGCGGACCCATGGCCGAAGCCATTACGACGCGACCGCGCTCCCAGGTCCACGATCCATTGTAAATTACGGTGCGCCCGCTCGCCCTGGGCTACGATCACTCGTAAACTACGCTGCGCCCGCGCTCCCAAGACAACGATCCGCGATAAATCACTCGGCGTCTGCGCTCCCAGGCCCGCGACCCCCTAGCAAATTAATCGGGATTCACGCTCTCAAGGCCACGGCCCATCTAACATTACACTGGATTCGCGCTCCCAGGGCCACGGTCCTTCGGAAATGACACAAGACTCACGCTCCAGGGCCGTGGCACCTTGTAAACTATATTGGGCTCGCGCTCCGAGGGCCACGGTCCCTCGTAGATTATGGGTTCGCGCTCTCAGGGCCACGATCTCTTGTAAATTACGCTGCGTCCGCGCCACCAGGGCCACTATCCCTCGTCACTTACGCATCGTCCGCGCCCCCAGGGGCAAGATCCCTAATAGATTACGCTTCGTCCGCCCCGCCAGGGCCAGGAAGCCTTGTAAATTACGCTGCGTCCGCGCTCCCGGGGCTAAGATCCATTGTAAATTAAGCTGCGTCATCGCTCCTGGGGCCACGATCCTTTGTACATTACGCTGTGTCCGCTCTCCCTGGGCCACGATCCATTGTAAACTACGCTGCGTCCGCGCTCTCAGGGCCGCGCTCCCTCGTGAATTACGCTGTGTCCGCGCTCCCAGGGCCACACCCCTTAGTAAATTACGCTGTGTCCGCGCTCTCAAAACCACCTGGGCATCATGGGGCGCCCAGGCTGTTCAAGTTCTGCACAACAAGCGTTTCGCTCGAGACATCCTCAGGTCGTGAAAGGCGGCTGGCCCCGGCGCTCGCAGGCGCTCGCTCCGCCCTGCTTCAGCGCCCCCCGGGTGGGGGGGCGGGGCAGGCTGGCGCGGCCGCGCCCCGGCCGCTGCCGAGGAGGCGCACTACAGTCGGCCCGCATCACAAGGATGCGCGACAAGGATGCGAGGGCCTTAGAGGCCCATGTCGAAGCTTTCCGAGCGGGGCGCGGCCCACGAAAGTGGCTCAGG